CATCTGCGGGAATGCTGTTTAGGAGTTACAGGAGAGGACTCAGAACAACTGAGAAGCGAGAGAAAGAGCAAAATGGGATTTGAAAAGAGGTACCATAGAACCGTTTCCTTTGAGATGCTGAGAGATATTTAAATTGATTTACATACTTACATTTGCCAGCCGGACTTTATTACTTCAAATATAACACTGCACAGAAATTAGATCACTGTGGGTCCTTAGATATTTTCAGGTCACATTTATTTACTCATTCATTGAAAAACATTTACTGTATTGTTATGTTCCAGTTCTTGTGCTAAGCAATGGGGATACAAAGTTAATAAACACGGTACCTGGCCTCAATGCTGCTCAAATTTTAAGAGAGGAGCAGACATACGAATAACACTAAATGCCATCATGTGAGCATCAAGGACTCTCATCAAATTTGAGGAGTCGTAAACAGGAGGGGAAACAGGTTGTAAAAGGACGGCTCTGGATCCTTCATCTTCAGCTGAAGGGCTGCTTACCTTCAGGCTGAGATTTCTTGATAAGCACTTCAGAACTTGAGCCATGCTGGCTGCGGCCCGTTCTCGCTCGTGGTCTTTGAGTGACTGTAACCAGGGCTCCATGTGCTGTGAAAAATAAAGGGAGCCTGAATGGTTTATTAAGGAAGATCTGGGATAACACCTAGGTTGTTTGGAGGAAAATGTGGAGGGAGATGTCCACATGTCACTAACTATGTCTGAAAATATTTTTGTAAATGATGAACCAGTTTTGGTTGGAAATGAAGGTAGTGGGATGACAAACATGGCACAGAGATCTAGGGGACTAGGTGGCCCAGCTTCTACAGGGGCTTATGTTCTAGACTAGTTTTTCCTTTATCCTACTTTCTTCAATTATTTATTCGATTCATCTGCATGTTTTTAGACTTCTGAAATCTGCTTTGGAAAGGAAGAAAACTAATGATGTGCTAGTAAAGAACTCTGAGGATGGGAAGCTGCATCTGCCTGGGACAGTCAGGGAAGGATTCATGGAGAAGGTAATATTCATGGGCAGGAACTTTGTCAAGAAAGTGGCATCTCAGATAGAAGAAACAGCTTGAACTAAGCTGACAAGGCAGGAAAGTACCAGGCACAACCAGATAAAGGAGAGAAGCCCAATGTGGCTGGAGTGTTGATGTATATATAGAAGAGGAATGAGAAATAATGTTAAGGTTGGTTGTGGCTAAGATAAATGTCCATCTGTATTTAGGTGCAAATCATTAATAACAGTTTAAAGGGTTATCTGTTTCTGGGATCTCTGCATCTTAAAAAGTGGTAAGAGAGCAAGATACTTGAACTGCAGTGAATGCACTTCAATGAATAAACCCCCACTGATGGAATGGCATATACTCGAATGGGTACAGGGGCGAGCAGGTGGTTATTAATGATTTTTGAATCTCGCCTGGTAGGCAGCTGCCTATTCAACTCACTCATGAGGCTGATTCTGTTCTCTTGGTCACTGATTGAAACCCTTCTATGGTAATAAGCACTAGTAATTTAAGGAATAATTATAGCTACCACTTAAACCATTTATTGAAGGCCGTTTATTCAATACTCACAGTAATTCTTATCTCCATTTAAAGGTGAAAAGACTGACAGATTAAATTACTTGCTGAATGTATAACCAATGAACGGCAGGGAGTCAGAATCTGAACCCAAGTCTGACTCAAAACTGAGAGCTGATACTCTTAACTGCTGACTCCTACCACTTAACCCTTCCGTATTTTCTGCTCCACTTTCACTAGTAAATAGGAACCATTTCCCATTCTCTCCCGATATCCTGTTCACATCTCTCCTGATATACCTTAAAAATGGTGTCAAGATTTTCCAAATGTGGGTCTTTTATCACCAAACTCTGAAGCATCTCAGAGAATGCTTGGAACGTCTGCCTATAGAGGGACTGAAAAGACACAGGATTAGTGAGAAATGCCCCACGTGGAGTTCCCCAACACTGCACACCTTTAAGGCTTTCCTTGTTGTCTCAGACCTTACTCAGGGGTGGAGGACCTTTGAATGAAGTACTAGCAGGCAGTGTGTGACCTGAGGTGAGACAATAAGTCATTTCAAATGGACACCTCAGCCTTACTGGGAGCACAGTTAACTGATTCTAACCACAGCTGAGAAATTACTTTTGGGTCATCAAAATTCTTTTAAAGTTTGACTTGTGAGTCTTTCTGTCAGCTTGCCAAATCAGTTCACCTTCTAGTTCACCAGCTGCTCCAGGAAATCAAGGCCTTAGTACTTCCTCTCCTGTCTGCCCGAAAGCTTCTTTTCCAGAGATATTCATACTCTCTCTTGTCAACCGTCACCTTATCAGGAAGGCTTTCTCTGGCCCCCTTATGTTAAAAAAAGCCCCTGTACCTGCCAACCACAGTACTATGTATCCTCCTCTTTCTCTGTTTTATTTTTTTTCATAGCACTTATTGCCACCTAATAGTATATGTA